CTCAGGATATTCAAATGCGGCTGGTTGTTGGTGTCTCTCCGCGTTTCCTTCGCCACTCGTTCCCTTTTGTTTCTCCCGTGCAATCTTCTTACATTTGTTTGCTTAGTTAGCAGTGAGAATCCTCGAGCGAAAGGGAATCACAGGCCTATATCTACGTGTGTATCTACTACTGTAGGAGAGAAACTCTTTCTCAGCCGCCATGTTGTTTTTGGTCGAGGAGATTTAAATAATCGTGGTATATATATATTCCAAAAGTTCTTTCTTTTTTTAAGTAATTTTAAGAAGAAATTTAAATCATGTTTTTTTTTTTCTTTTTATATTCCAGTCAATTGTTCTACTGAGGATAGATTTTGTTCCCGCAGGATTACATTCGGGTTACGGTTGGTTCCGTTCCAAGATGGAGATCGCGCGCAGGAGATATTCCACCTGTTTCGACCGTGGAAGGTCGATTCGCTTTTCAACGGGTTAAATCGATTATCGTTTCCCAGTTGGCGACCTTATTCTCCGGCTGCACACTGCCATTAACTCCCGTCTGTTGTTCCGTGAACGTTCATAAACATATGCCTCGTCACATTCTTGACAGAAAGGTTACTATTTCTTGAATCTATGTCTACATTCGAAGATTCTCTTTCACTAATAGATAAACTGAGAAGGGATTGATCTTCTCGAAGATTTTGATCCTTTCCTTCAAGGTCACCATCAGTCACACTTCCAACTTCATGTAGAGTGCATTTGCAGAATAGTTTTTCAACCGGTATTTGATTTACATACCATCGCATCGTACGATTATATATGTTTCGGTTATCTAGGTAACCTAGCAGCATATCTATACTTATTATGCAGGTGTATATACAATACATTGAAAGAGAAGATATAATGCACATGTAGGTTGGCAAGCGAGGCCCGATCGCATCGTGTTGCTATGGGGACGTTTCTTCGTCTCCTCTTTTCCTCTTTCTCTCTTTTTACCTCTCTTTCTTTTCACCGATTTCTTGCGGTTCGCGGAGAAATCTATCTCCTACCGCGAGCATGTTTTTTTGTAACCATGGCGATGTGCTTGTGACGACAATAGAAGAAAGAGATCCCTGCCTTACTTATGTAATTAATAAGCTGTCGATTTTTATGCATTTATTGGAAACTTCGAAATCCACACACACAATGCATAAATAATGTTTGATCTTGATACTATACTAGCTGAGTATAATGTTTAAAGCAATCTCTGTTTAGATTCTTCTCAATGATGCGTACAAAAGTGTGCAGTCATTATATATATGCAATAATCTAGTAATCAATCTCGTACCAGTGATTTACTATTATTACTTTATGATTGGCTTTGTGAAATCTGAATCTTTCTTTCATTGATATAGTCTTCTTTGAAGAAGCTTGGAATGTCAATACTATAGCACGAAGGACTAACAAATAAGAATGAACGCAGAAGATAGATTGGGAAAGTCTGTAATTTAGTTTCCTCGAAGCTTTGCAACGAATATTAAACAACGTATTCTTAAACAATTATGGCACCAGGGTTAGGATATATAATTTTTCGTCTCTTCAATTGGAAATTATTTCTGGGATTTCTTCCACTTACGGATCTCTATTTTTGCCAAAGAAGCAGCAACGAACGTCTGTACGTAGGTGCACGTGTTCTGTGAACATTCATTGTTCACCAACTAATGTCGCATTCCGCGAAACAAGCCAAAGATAAAGAATAGCATGAAAATGTAGTCGGCAGAGGTAAAGAATAGCGTGTTGAAACTCGAGCCTCCGCGTAAACAAACAACCAGTCGATCAGATTACTGGAATCCATGTGAAAAAGAAGAAATGTACAAGAAAGAGAGCAATTAATTGGAATGACACTTTCTTCTCCAGAAAAAGATGCTTGACCGATGTTCAAATCATCGTAGTTTCACTTTTATACATACCAATGATATTACCCTCATTCTCACAGAAATGTACGTTTCCCTTCTCCAGGAGAAAACCTAACCTAAACCCTTTGTGAAAACAAATCCGTAAAGCTGTTCCATTTTACAAAATACCCATGAATACTACCTTTGTTCCCTACCTCTCCTCGTCGCGATGCTTCAATTA